TAAACCTCACAAAACCTAGTTATGGTAAAACCCATGGTAGGAGGATTCCTCTCTTCTAGGACACTTCCATAATCTAAAATAACCTCATGCGTTAGAATGGACAATTTAGTGATGGTAGGATTTGAACCAGGTTCATTAGTGTCTGTCGTGGTTTTCTTTTTCCTGAGTTGTGAATTCTTTAAACCAATGGGTCTGCCACGCTTCAAGATAGGAGCAGATGATTGGCTAGACATCGATGTACCAGGCCGTGCAATATGTGCGGCCGACCGTTGCTCGAGGGTGGCTCGTTCTTCCATGGTGTGTTTCAATGCAAGCAAGTCACACCTATCCTTGCAGGCAAAGTTACAGTTGGTATATGTGATATGGTCACTTTTGCGGCATGCTTTGAGCAATACTCTGTAGATCTAAAACACTCCACACTTTAATTTCGGAATGTGCGATGCAGAGATCTAGAATTTGCGGTGCAGGAATCTAAATTATGAAACGTAAGAACAACATAAATAAAAACACAGAAAAAAACCATGACCTGTTGAATGGTGATCACAGCGGGCCGAAAATTATTGAAGCTAAGAAACCTATAACTTTATAGTTATAGTAGGTAATGGTCATTACAGTGTCGGTGGTGCAGACAGTCTGGAATGCATTTGCCCTCCTTTTCTGTTCAAAAGGAGCAGTTGTTCAACAAAGAAAGCAAGGCAGCTGATTTCCTTTAAAGACTAGCCATGCACGAGGGGCTGCCTCTACTTCTACTTTTGTTCAATCAAAATGGACGCTATCTTTTTGGTCTGATGATATGAAAATTTGGAAATTATGATCTATTTTAAGAATGTAATATGGTGAACTGTCAATTTAATTTCTGAATTATCACCTCAACATTATTATAAAAATTCTCGCTTAGCACCGCCTAGGTGTTAGGTGGCTGACCACCATCCCGATTAATGCCTAGGAGTTTGAAAATTAAGAAAAAACATCTAGACTTGCTAAGATGTCCGCTTAGACCGCCTACGTTACGACCCACTTAGATAGAAAATAGATAACTTTCATTTTGCATTTCATTTTTTACAATAATTATTAGGGACTTGTTGTATACTTAAATGAACACTCATTAATTACATATGATACACCTTGAAGGGTAGATTGATAGTTTTCTATAAAGAAATAACGTATAGAGTTAACTTGGTTAACTTTGAAGGGTAAATTAGTAGTTTTACATAGTAAATAGTGTAAATTAAGTTAACTTTGAACAAAACCGCCCTGACAATTCTTAGTTGCGCCATTGAAGTAATGAATTTGAAAGCGTTACATGGGGTAAAACAAATTAATGAAGTAATTATGCAATACCTTAGACATGGGGAGGGTAGTGTGGACTCAATAATTACGAGATCAAGTCTTAATATTTGATTTGCACGCCACCACATGTTAAAAGAGTGGATGCAGAGTAGGGAACGTGGGATGTTTTTTGTTTTTGTTTGTTTTTTATTTTATTTTATTGGAGACCATCTAGTAGCTTCACCGCGTAGTCCTTTTATCATTAATTGATAAACATGTAATCTACATGTACATTTATGTCAAAAAATTGAGTGTATCCGTCCCCAGTGGCCTTATGCATCCATCCATTAAAGAAAACAGCATTATTTTCCGGAATGAATGTATGTTGGAAAAATAAGGTAGAGCCAACTGCTACATTAATCACAACAAAAGTTCATAAATAGTCATCCAATTAATTACACAGATATAATGCATATGAACGATCATAGACAATGCCAAATGCAAATGATTAAGGGTTGGAAAAATCTGAAATGGGTCAAGACAAATGTTTGATATTATGGTCTTAAGACAAGTTTCGAGATAAATGTTCCAACGTCAAAGTAACATTAAAGAATTTATTATTCTTCAAATGCTCTTAATCGGGGGTGCGTTTGGTACGCAGACAGGACGGAACGGGACGGGACGAGACGGGACGGAACGGGACGGGACGGGACGGGACGGAACGAATGTGTAATTTTTGAAAAATACATGGGGTATATTTGTCTTAAAATGGTAAAACAGTGTGTTCCACAGACGTGGAACAAACCCGTTCCAGGGGGGAGGTGGGACGCAAAAACACCCAAAATCTGTCCCGTGGAACAGCCCGTTCCACCCATTTTTGGCGTACCAAACGCGGGACGGAACGCCTCGTCCCGTTCCGTCCCGTCCCGTCCCACGTACCAAACGCACCCTATGTGTACTACACTAAAGCCTTTAATATAATTGAAAAGGAATCATTACCTCTAAACTATCACAAAACACTTCTCTAATCTTAATAAGATTTTTTCGAGGTTTCTAGTACATTAGCGGTAAAATGTTGAGATGGTGTTCCGGGAATTTGGAAAAAAATTTCTCCAAACCTCGAATGGTCGGCCCCCAAACCATTTTAATAATTGGGCTAAAATTATCCTTAGAGGAAAAAAATTCGTTTCGGCCAAGATTCTTCCCATAAATTGAGCTTGGGATAAAGGTGAGTCTCATCGGTGAGCGTGGACGCAACAAATTTGTGCCCACGCACAACGTTCCGATGCATGCACCACATGCCACGCAACAAAATGTCAGTTGCGAGGACCTAGCGCTGACGTGTTTGTCAGCCACTTGCAATAAGCCCAACGACTATTTTAACTTACAATTTTTTATATAACCCACACAATTGCCCATGATTTGAATGCAGAGAAAACTACAACGTCACCGTATTACAATACCCCTCCTTTTCATTTTCCCGAAAATTGTATCTAGATATAAGAATTAATCATTCATTGGATTGACAAATACACTTTATATCACCTTTATAGGATTCCTTAAAGATGAGCGTGTGACATATCATCCATGCATATTAGGTTCCAATAATACACCCTGGAGCATATGGCTAGGACATGGAGAAAAGTCCAGCAGTAAGAAAAAAAAATGAAATATAGAACTAGGAAATATATATACATATATATATTATGTATAAAAATATACCTTACAAGGAGGAAATAATGATGTTTAATATACATTTTAGAATAGTCACAGTAGTTCTGCAAAGTGATAATAGTCCCTCAACATACCAAGTCCCACAAGAGTCGTGTAATTTCAAACAAATGGGCATAAAGGAACACAATCATCATATTCATGCGCAAAAGCAAAGTTGTGACAATAGAACTGGACAAAATTATACTGTGAGGTTAAGCGACTAGGTTGCTGACTAGTGGGACTATAGCCCCATAGAAATATTGGGTAAGAGATATTGTTGTCCCAAGAATGAAGCCTGATTGATATCCTCCAAACAGGGTCATTGGGTGTGACAGTGGACAGGTAGGAATAGGACTGTGGAGGTTGACACACAAACAACGGTTATGTAGGGTATTATAAATTGTGGACTCCGGGGACTCATTTTTCAGCTTCATGGGCAGTGCAGTAGAACTAGCAAAAAATTATTATGGGGGAGTTCAAGCATTTGGTGATTGTTAAGTTCAAGGAAGATGTCGTGGTGGAGGGGATTTTGAAAGATCTGGAGAAAATGGTCGCTGAGATTGATGCTGTTAAGTCCTTTGAATGGTAATTAATTCTCTACTTTTCTTATTAAATATTTGATATTTAATACGTTTATGTTGTCAGGCTGTCATTTAAGTGAACATTCCCACACATAAACTAAAAGCAAAACAGTTTTTTCCCCATGGGCACCCCATTTAAAATCAAAACAATAAATTATATGATGCTTTATAACTGTAAAATAAGATCATTAAAAGTCACTTGACAAAACAATGTTACTGATCGCGAACATATGTTCGATCCTCGCCGGTGTGCTTTATTCTTTCTCTTAGGGGACAGGACTTGGAAAGCCCAGAGATGCTTAGGCAAGGGTTTACCCATGCCTTCTTGACGACATTCGACAAGAAGGAAGATTATACTGTGTTTGTTGGCCACCCTAAACATCAAGAATTTTCAGCAACATTTTCAACAGTTCTAGAAAGATTGTGCTGCTTGATTTCCCGGCTACTCTTGTCAAGCCACCACCCAAGGCACCGGCGGAGGAACCACCAGCTACCCTGAATGATCAGAAGTAACTTAAAAATTGCAAAACTATGTACCCAATGGAACGGAATATGATGAAGTATGCTGCTTCTGCTTGCGTGTAGTTTTTAGTTTTTTTTTCTATTAAATTATGGGTTCTGTTTAATTGTGGCGATGTCAATGTTTTTAATGTAATTTCAACTTGTGTGAAACTATGTTATGGTCATTTTGCCTCACCTGAGGATTCACGAATGGACATGTAGCTTAACTGAAGGGATTTTGTTTATTATTACACTTGACATCGTTCTGAAAAGGAGATAAACTTAGCTAAAATCTGATGTATATGCTTATCTCTATCCTCAAGTACATAAAAAAAAGATACAAGCATCTTAAGAAAGGAGATAAGCACAAACATATATATACTTGTTGCACTTAAAATTTTGTCCATGAAAAAGCAAAAGATGATATATGTACTTTTGACTTTGTTGCTTTTAGTTGTCGTGGCTCAAGAAAGGGAATTACTAGCAATGCTTCACGGTCCCATGCAAACAATTTGTCTGCGAGAAACAGAAAATTAAAGATTAAAAAATTGGATAGATATTGAGGAAAATAATGGCCAAAAGAAAAACCCTACTCAGAACTCATCAGAGTGCCATTTTATTATAAAATCTTAAGGTAAACTTCAAATATGTAACCATCTACAAATCGTGACTTGTAATTTTCCATGATCGAACGTATGTGATTAATTATAGTATTCAGTAAAAAGCCATGTTTTAACATTAAACAAAACAGCGACCAAACATAGAGCTCTGATGATCCATCAAAAAGCATACCATCGCCAACAGTAGTGGGTGGAAAAGGAGGAAATCAGGCAGCAGAATCTATAAAGGATGGAGAAGTGTCGCATTCCATTGGGCCACGGAAAAGTGCGATTGCAATTGAAAAACTACATACATATTCCTGCCAAAAGTCCACAAGAAAATTTGAAATCACAAAGTAATATTCTTCAAAAGATTGCAAAGTAGATTCTCTGTTATCTTGATCTTCTTTGCTTCCTTATAACTCTATTGAAAAGTTGAAAACAATCTAACAGTGCAGTGCATTTGGATATGCAGGCATTCAAGAAAATCTGCCTCCTGCATCCTGTCCTTCTAGTTCTCCATTTCTGGTTAACAACTTCAATTTCTCAAAATGCTTCAACAATTATTTGTGACAAACTCAACACTCAAACACCTATTTCGAAGCCAAATTCAACCGCGTTTTCTCGGCTAAACCGCATTTTTGTTTGCAAATCTCAAAAACTATACCATAGTGATAGAACCTCTATTAACCTGTTCCCAATTTCCTACACTAACTACAAATGTAAAAGTCTGATCATCTCCAACCCTTCTTGTTCATCTCCACTACAATATGCTCATCCTAAACTTCGATCGCCTAGGTTTCGTCCTCCCAGACAGTCCAACTCACTTTTACTCTACAACTGCTCAAACAAAAACCTTGCTCCATCAATACATTTTCAAAATGTCACCTGCCTGCCTGCATCTGGAGCTTCTTCAAAGATTCAAGAACCCAAACTTGATGGGCTTACATTGTCCTCTTGCATACTATTTCATGATCGGACAAAGCTAGACATGGGTTTTCATCCAAGAGATCTGAATTGCTCATGTTACAGCAGGGTGTATGAAACACCTTCACATGGAAACAATGAAGGATATGGGTTGAAGACAAGGATGTCTTTCGACATCCCTGACCACGTTCCTAATATCTGCGACGAGTGTCAAAAGCCTAATGGAAATTGTGGTGCTGGGTTGAGGTGCGTATGCCACCCAAAAGAGTGCAGTAAGTGCCTAGCTTCATAAAGTGTGAATTGAAGATATATATTAATTAGATTTATCAACCATTTAAAAACTATTATAATTACTGTGGTGTTTCTAACGATTTTAATTTGCAGAAAATAAAGTGATTTCAAAGGGTGGATCCATCCTCTTCTCTTTGCTTACTCTAGTAGTAGTGATGGCTTTGGATCACTGAAGCAAGAAAGTTAAGTCCCTATGTATTGGTCTTTTTTTTTTTTCCTTTACTGTGTAGCCGACATTCAAATGGGGGTAAGGCTAGCCGACATTCACCTCTCCCAGACCCTGCATAAAGCGGGAGTCTTGTGCATTGGGTACGACCTTTTTTACTGTGTAGCTGTAAAAAAGAAATCAAAAGCAAATTTTGGTAGTTGTTCCCATTTCTCTTCATCTGTCTGTCCAGTAAAGATTCGTAGGCTCCATTTGGATGGAGAAATTTGAATGAAAGGATTTGGATGTGAAAAGTTTGCCACATAAACTAGAAATCATTAAATCGATTGTATTTGAAACAACCGGATGTAGGAGTGAATCTTCACTAGGCAAACTGTTAAGGAAATACATGATACATTCGTTCAACGAAATACATGATATATGTGTACAAGGAAGGCTATTCAATTCCCACTTCCACTAGCTACTTCTTCTGTAAAGGAACTATAAGTTGAGGTACAAGTATTACATCCTTCATGATTTACTGTATGGTACAATCTGCTTTAACTTGAACCTAATCAATCCACTGTTATTGCAGCAGTACTCAAACCAGCATAATTCCTTATACCTGATTATGTTTTATGGCCAACTCTTTGTTGTGAAAAGGAACATGACAGGCAATGACAGAAACGAATAATTATACTCAAAATCCAGGAAGTGAAAAATATGACCTTAGTAAAAAAAGCTACAAGGCAATGATCAAGTCGTGACGATACATGCCACCCAATTTTAATCAGTTACGTTCCAAAAGAACAAAAAATGAAACACTCATCTCTCTAATAACTTCCTAACAGCAATACATGAGGAAATAGAAATTGACCTGCAAAATCTCAGTACTTGTGAGTCCTTCACGTGAAGGCTCTCTGAAGCACCATCTCCCAATGCAGTATCCCCTTTGTAGGTACCCAAAGTTACTTCTAAATTCGCTTTGCACCTAGCAAGCCCACGCCTTTAGGGTACTCTGCTGCAGAGCCCGCCCAAAAGAGAATGAAAGTGACCAGGGTTTCTTGGTATTGAGCTTGTTCATAGCATTCAAATGGAGGGTAGCTTCCTCCTCACTCTGCCCACCCGAAAGAAACACCACAGCAGGAATAGCTGGAGGCATTGTTCGCTGCAATGCCCTTACTGTATGATTAGCCACCACCACAGGCGAAACCTTCTTGCCATCTGAACCAGGGGTAACCATGTTTGGCTTCAAAAGAGTCCCCTCGAGAAGGACATGGTGGTCGTTCAGTGCTTTATAGCACGCTGCAAGGGCACGCTCAGTCACATCTGTCTGTGCATCGCTCAATGTCATGAGATCTGTCAACTAATATCTCTGGCTCAACAATTGGTACCAAGTCATTCTCCTGGCAAATGACAGCATAGCGTGCCAAGCCATTGGCATTCTCATTTATAGCAAGCTGGGTTGGCTCGTTTGGGCCAATATTGAGTACAGCACGCCACTTTGCATATCGGGAACCAGCTTCATAGTACTGCTGGCAGCGCTGGGCAAGACCGTCAAGACCCTGAGTTGTGGTCTCACCATTAGTTCCAGCAAGCTCAACAGTACCCTTGTCAACTTTAATTCCAGGAAGGACCCCCGCGTCTTTGAGGAGATCAACAAAGGGTTTACCGCCGGCTGTTTTCTGGTAAAGGGTTTCCTAAAAAGGATCACACCGCTGAGATACTGGAGTGCACCGGGGCACAAAAGAGGAGCTCACGGAGGGCTCGCCTGTTGTTTTCATTATTCTCGACATTTATACTTGACAGACGCTTGCCAATTGTGCCCGTTGACTCGTCTGCAGTAAGGATTCCCTTCCCAGGGGGAGCAATGTAGGCAGCATTGGCTACAAGTTCATCTGTAATACATGATGGCTTTTATTTTTGGTCTCTCTAAATGAATTATTTTGGGGATTGGGACTGGAAGCTGCAACAACATCAAATATTAAAATAAAAGTACAGAACAAATCAGAACAAATCAGACTACACATGTATGCTTTCCTTGTAACTAGAGTTACATTGATCCCAAAAATATCTCGGAAAATTGAGAAATGGGCCAAACCATTGTTAAAAGAGAAGCTTGAAGCTTTAACAATGGAAGTTCACACTTAGAGAGAGAAAGGGATTACATAAGTTTTAGAGAGAAACTGAGAAAACAACTATGTATATTTCATTTTTTTTTTTCACATTTCAATTGCTTACAAACTATCTCTTTATATACTCTTCACTTTCCTTACAGATTAAGCAAACTCATAACAAACTTATCAACTTAATCTATTGACACTTGGCTGCATATCAACCATTGGGTTGACCCTGTGCCTTTATACCTTTACATCCCCCTCAATCTCATGCTTACTAGAACTAAGCATGAGATTGGAACAATGATCTTGAAATAGAGAAGTAGACAACCCTTTAGTTAAAATGTCTACAAACTGCTCCTTGGATACAGCCAAGTCACCTTTGATAACTCTCTCCCGGATAAAGTGGTAGTCGATTTCAATATGCTTCACCCTTGAATGAAAAACTGGATTAGAGGATAGTGCAATAGCAGAAATATTGTCACAAAATAGCATAGAAGCATCATATAAAGGAACATGAAGATCATGCAGAAGCTGTTGTATCCAAGAGACTTTTGCTGCAGTGATGGCAAGTGCTCGATATTCTGCCTCAGTAGAGGACCTAGACACAATATGTTGTTTCTTGGAGGCCCAAGAAATAGGTGTATTACCAAGATAAACAACATAGCCAGAGGTGGATCGACGATCATTGAGATCCCCTGCCCAATCTGCATCGCTATAGGCTTGAAGTTGTAATTTTCCAGGAGTAAAATGAATGCCATAGTCAAGAGTGCCACTGAGATACCTCAAAATTCGTTTCATCGCAACAACATGAATATCCAGAGGGTTGTGCATAAATTGACAACATTGGTTAACGGCAAATGCAATATCTGGCCTAGTGAAGGTCAAACATTGCAATGCACCAACAATAATGCGATAGTGTTTTGGACTATGATAAGGTGAACCATCTGTCTTAGATAACCTGTGATAAGGAAGGTAGGGTGTGGCACACGATTTTGCATCTTGCATATCAACCTTGGTGAGAAGATCGTGAATATATATGGTCTGAGAGATAAACAAGCCTGTGTTCTTGTAAGTGATCTGCAAACCTAAGAAGTAATGTAAATTTCCCAAGTTCTTCATATCAAACTCTTGTGTCAGAGCTAAAATGACTTTAGACATAAGAGATGTATTGCTGCCAGTGAGGATGATATCATCCACATAGAGTAAGAGAATCACAATACCATTGGATGTTTGCTAGACAAACAAAGATGGATCGGCAAAAGAGGCTTTGAAGCCTAAACTAGGTAAGAAGCTTGTAAACTTCTCATTCCATGCCCGAAGAGCCTGTTTAAAACCATATAAGGACTTATGTAGTTTACAAACATAATTAGAAGGATGAGAAGAACATACAAAACTAGGAGGTTGACTCATATAGACCTCATCAAGAAGATCTCCATGTAAAAATGCATTTCGAACATCCAACTGATAGCCGACCCCACTTAGTGGGAAAAGGCTTTGTTGTTGTTGTTGTTGTTGAACATCCAACTGTCTTAAACTCCAGTTAAACTGAGCTGCAAGTGCTAAGATTAATCTGACAGTAGTAGGCTTAACCACTGGACTGAAAGTTTCAGTATAATCGATGCCTTCCTCTTGACTATACTTTTTAGCTACAAGACGAGCTTTATACCTTGCTATAAATGCATCTGGATTCCTTTTAAGCTTGTACACCCATTTGCATCCAACTAAGTTTTTGCCAATAGGAAGAGGAATAAGAGTCCAGGTATTCTGAGCATTCAAAGCATTTATCTCATCTTGCATGGCAGCCTGCCATTCTGGGACTTGACTAGCTGACTTGAAAGAAACAGGTTCCATAACAGGCACAATTGATGATGGAACAGAAGCTGAGAAAGCTTTTTTCTTAGAAATCCCACTTTTGGATCTTGTTTACATTGGGTGCAAGCTCACAGAAGGTACTGGCAGAACCACACTTAGACTTTCTTGCTGGAAATTAGAATCCACAGGGATTGGAGACTGTGTAGGTGCAAGAGGGGCTGACAATGATGATTGTGACTGTATAGGGTTGGTGGAAGAAGTCAAGAACTCTGGAGCTATAGTGGGAGATGCCAAAGACTCTGAAGCACTAGGGTTTATAGAAGAAAACTCTGAAGCTCTAGGGGTTAAATGCACTGATGTAGATGATGGTTGAGATGATGATGATGTGTGTGATTCAATAACATTGTGAAGTGTAACTGATGGTGGTACAATTGAAGAAGGCATTCTAAGTGACTATGTAACCTGAGACTTAGAGATGAGATCCAAATAAGGATAAGTATGCTTATCAAAGAGAACATGTCTTGACACATGAAACTCGCTAGTAATGGGATTAAAACAAATATACCTTTTATATTGACCAGCATATCCCATAAATATGCACTGTGCAGTCTTGGGTTGGAATTTTGAAGTGTTGTAGGGTTTCAAGAGAGGAAAACAACTACCTACATCCAAAAACCTTTAAATGTGTTAACACTGGGGGTTTTTGAAACAGACAAGTGTATGGAGACTTCATGGTTAAAACTTGACATGGCATTCTGTTTATTAAGTAGACAGAAACTACACAAGCATGGAACCAAAATTGTAAAGGCAAATGAGCTTTTTGAAGAAGAGTAAGTGCAGTTTCAACAATAAGCTGATGCTTTCGTTCAGCAAGACCATTTTGCTCAGGTGTGTGTGGACAAGACTTGTGATGCAAAATGCCTTTTGTTAACAAAAATTGTTTGAACTTGTTACTGGTGTATTCACCACCACCATCACTCTGGAAAATTTTAATGGCAGTGGAAAATTGAGTTTGTATAAAAGAATGAAACTGCACAAAAGTATGAAACACCTCACTTTTATTCATTAAAGGAAATATCCAGGTAAACCTGGTACATTCATATATGAAAAGTACATAGAATTTGAAAACCTCAATGGACAAAGTAGGTGATGGTCCTCATACATCACTATGTATGACTTCTAAGGGTTTTACAGTTTTATTTGCAGGATATGAAAAAGGAAGTTTAGTAAATTTTCCTGGCAAACAAGATATACACACATGTTTAGAGTGATCCACAGAAAAAAGAACTTGAGATTGATGCAACATTTGAGAAACAACAGAATTAGATAGATGGCCTAATCTGGCGTGCCACAAATTTGTGTTCACTTGATGACCAAGGTAA